TATATATATATATATATATTAGATCTTTAAAAGAAATCTTGATAAGCCAAAGATATATATAACCTAACTTAGTTGATACTATACTTTTACCTGCGCAACGTCGTGTGAGAAAAATGGGTCGTCAAATGGGGGATGTTTATTTTGTTTTTTCCTGCAGAAGACAAATATAATAGTAATATTAAAAATAAAAAATAAAGTAAAAATAGTATAACATTTTTATATGAAAAATACTGTTTTTGACTCGGGATATTTCTTCAAATTTTTACATTTTTTTTTCTTCAATTTTTAACCTTTTTTTCCTTCAAATAATGGATACTTATTTAAAGTATGAAAGTAAAACGTTGAATATAATTGGTGAGTTGGGCTACAGGGCTGGTGAACTAAGAACACGATTGCCTCCAAATCGGGTCTTATCATGCATTTTAGTTTACTAGGTTACTTAAGAAATATCTTTTACTTATTTCATAAATTGATTCGTTGTCAAAATCAGCGAAATTAAACCTGAATTAAATTCGGTGAATTTTACTTGGTATAGGGATGAAAGAAAAACTCATTGAATTTGCAACGATGATGTTTATATATTTAATTGTTTGTTCCATTACCACAAAATGTTTTTATTTGTTTGACCAGTGAAAGGGTAACAATTATTTCTACGCTTACTGGTCAATCTTTTACATTATTGTTTGTAATAACACAAAAATACACACATTCTAATACACTATTTCTTAATCATTTTATTGAATATGCTAAATATAAAAATAAAAAAAAAGAAATATATTTTTAAAACCATCGTAAAACCGTAAAAGAATGAAAACATCAATCAAAATGACCTTGGCCCATTCGATTAAAACAAAATAGGGTGCAAGAAGTTTTTAAAAAAACAACCCTGGTTGGTGTAATAAAACAGATACCGGTTCAAGAAGTAATTTTCTGAAATTTACTATTCATGTGGGTCACTGGCTCGCGCGTTAGTTGTCATAAAGTAGAGCCCGGCCCATATTTTATGATAATAGAAATTAGAAAGAAAAAAAAAAACAAAATTTCTTGCAAAAAACGACCATGGTACTGATTGACAAGTGGATAGAAACCATAAAATGGAATTAAGCAGATTTCCCCCCTCAATAATTTAGTTAAATCAAATATTATTTTCTAACTTCATATTCTATTAAGTTTATATTTAAAATACATTAAAAAAATGCTAGTGTTTAAAACACCTTTCTTGTTATACTTTTAGCAAAAACAAAAAAATATTATTTTGTTTTTGACAAAAAAAAGAGTGTTATTTAGCACCAAAGCAGGGGTACACCAAAAGGTTTAGAATATTAACTGACCAATCACGTTCTTGTTTGACCTATGGTTGGAAATGCATTGTGTTTTTTTTACCTTCCTGAATTTGTAAAATTAATTTTCATACTAATGAGTGTTAATTTCTCTAATTGTATTTTTGTGGTAGGTATACATGTGTGTGTCTTTCTCTTTAATTGTAGCCGTCATTGTTGTATTTTAGTGTTAATCTTGCTTTGAACTTGTAACTTGACTCCAAATTTCAGCACCAAATTCAACCTGATTAATAATCCTATTTAAGTTAAGGATCCAACGAATCTTAAGTGTTATGATGTGGTTGGTCTCTAATCTTTTGTGAACTATTATCTATCATATATCAATGAAGATCTTTGACAACAATTACAAATTTAGTATTCCTCTCTTTATATAGTTTACTGATATTTATAACTTAGTTAAAAGAAATAAAATGCGACAATTTATGTCAACTTTATAGATTTGGCCCGATTTAATAAAATAATTATTTTTTTAATAT